CAGGTGTATGTATTTGTGTATGGGTCCTTATGTCAGAGTACAGGTGTATGTATTTGTGTATGGGTCCTTATGTCAGAGTACAGGTGTATGTATTTGTGTATGGGTCCTTATGTCAGAGTACAGGTGTGTGTATTTGTGTATAGGTCCTTTTGTCAGAGTACAGGTGTGTGTATTTGTGTTTGGGTCCTTTTGTCAGAGTACAGGTGTATGTATTTGTGTATGGGTCCTTTTGTCAGAGTACAGGTGTGTGTATTTGTGTATGGGTCCTTTTGTCAGAGTACAGGTGTGTGTATTTGTGTATGGGTCCTTTTGTCAGAGTACAGGTGTGTGTATTTGGAAGAATTGTTGTACATTTACTTGGCCAGTATGATGAAACGTCAACTTAAAAACCATATTTGATTGTGAAACGCCTAGAGCCGTCGGGGAGTGGGCAATAGAGAAATTAATGATCCGTAATGTTAGTATTACATGTATTATAACTATTATTATTATTAATTTTATTAGTATTATTGTATTATTCTCACAACATTGTCTGGTGACAGGAAGTTTTCAATATCATAACGCCTGTTTGTTTGTCTGTTTGTTTGTTTGTCTGTTTGTTTGTTTGTCTGTTTGTTTGTTTGTCTGTTTATAATTAATTCTGCTCCGGGAAAAGTTTTCCAAACCAAACAAAGACAACGTGTGTGCAGGGAACTAAAAGCATAATACAAAAGTGATCCTGGAACAAAAACAAGTCGGCATGTGACAAGAACGAGACAAAAAGGCCCAAACAAGAAGGACCTAGGTGAGAATCCCACCAGCCAGGCTGTCAAAAAAGTCCCTGGTCTCCTCCTGACCGCTGTAGTACGCCTCGTTCCCCCACCCTGGCTTCTCATTGGTCCAGCCGCTAGGAGAACCCGCCCCCTCCACTGACCCCTCCCCCTGAGACCCCGCCCCCTGCTCCTCTGACTCCTCCCCCCGCTGGCCGCCGTCTGTGAGGCTCTGCCCCAACACCTTGGTCCTGTCTAACACCTCCGTGGCCACGCCCCTCACATACTCCCTCAGCGCCTCGCGAAGGTAGGCCTTGCTCGACTCCCGGCCCGGGGCCACGCCGGAGGCCCGCACTGCGTCCATGGCCGTGGGTCGGCCTGACCATACAGTGCTCACGTGGCCGGTGCGACCTGGGGACGGTACAGTAAAGGGGGCGGGGTGTGTGGGTGGGGGGTTGTTAGAGATACAGAGTGCACATACGTAGCATGAATAATAATAATAATAACAATAACAATATAGCAATAAAAACAACCGCTATA